TGTCGGGCGTTGAACACTCTTTCGCAAGTTCGAACGTTACCTTGACGGGAACTTGTTGTCACGCCCGGCATTCGGTGAGCAGCTGTTTATGGACTTGCAGCTGTTCGTTCAACCTTCTAAAGTCCTTGTTTTCCCCCTCTCCCTCTTTTCTCTTGTGCACGCAAGATGCTCGCTGAATTGCTTGTAAAGCTTCCCCTTTTCGCGAGACGTCGGGACTTGTCCGTCGCTCGTTCTTCGAACTAATCAACTTTCTCTTTTTACAGGTCCTTCGAGACCTGCGAGAGGTTGTAAGTGGGCTGATCTTTGCGGACGCAAATCGCAAGGGCGAAGCGTGACTTAGGCAACGCAAGCTAAGTTCGCGTCTTTGCCGCAAGGGTGCCTCACGCCTTATGCAATTCCAGCTAAGGCCGTGACAATCTGGATAACTTTAATCTTCTCATAATCCACTTGAATACCTGTAGGGATTAAGATGAAGCCTAGAAAAGCTAGGCTAGAGGTCATGAAGGAGCACTTCTTGATATTTACAAATAACTTTTCTGCCTTCAAGATTGATAGGATAGTTCTTAATTGTTCAATATGATTAAGTTTGTTGCAACTATAAATAAAAATATTATCAAAGTAAATAATAACAAGCTTCCCAATATAAGGACATAGAATTTGATTCATTACCCTCGTGAAGGTGCTCTGAGCATTTGAAAGTCCAAATGGCATAACTAGTCATTCATATAAATTTTCTCGAGCCTTGAAAGTAGTTTTTCATTCATCTCCTAGTTTAATACAGATTTGGTGATAACTGCTATGAAGATCAATTTTAGAGAAAATTTAAGCACCAGCAAACGTATCGAACATATCCTCCACACGTAGAATAGGAAATATGTACTTGATGGTAATTCGATTGATAGCTTGACCATCAATGCAAATCTATCAAGTTTCATCCTTCTTTAGAGTCAATAAAGTTGGAATGGCGCACGGACTTAAACTTGCCTGAATAAAACCCTTGTACAATAGATCCATAACTTGTTTATTCAACTCTTCATGTTCTTTTGGGCTCATCCGACAATGAGATTTGTTTGGCAAGATTGCTCCAAGAGTTAGATCGATTTGATGTTGAATGTTTCAAATAGGAGGCAAGCCACCAAGAAGTTCTTCAGAGTGTATGTCCTTGAATTCCTCCAAAATAGCTTCTACTTCACAAGGAATTTCTATAGGCTGCATGGATTCTTTAGCAACTAACATAAATATAAGTCCAATTTCTTCGCTTTATCTTGTAAACTTATTTTAAGTAAGGAAGTTATTTCCCTGCCTTTGGGTTAAAGGTTTGGGAGCAAATTCTTCTTTGCATAGCAAAAGCACAATTCTAACTCCATTAAATTTAAAAGTATAGGTTTTCTTTCTACCATCATGGATAGCACACTTATGATAAGACCCTAAAGTCTTATCGTCGCTCTTTAGGGTCTTATCATTTGGTATCAGAGCAACGATCCTTGGCGCAGCCCACCGCAGCCTTGCTTCCCTTCTTCCCCACCACTACTACAAGGCAACTCTTTCTTCATCGTTGTCGCTGTTTCCCCGGCCAGCGACCTTCGACCACCGCTCAACCTCCTCGCGTCCCCATCCTTTTCTCTTCTTCTTTTTTACGATAAGACTTTAGGGTCTTATCATTTGGTATCAGAGCATCCCCATTTCTTCCATTTCTTCTACGATAAGACCTTAGGGTCTTATCATTTGGTATCAGAGCGACGATAAGACTTTAGGGTCTTATCAACTTATCATATTGTCATGGTCTTCTCAAGAGTATATGGCTAACATCTATCGGTACTACATCATACCACATCATCTTTATAATTTTTGCCCATCTAAAAAGAAACTAGGCATCGATTAGTAACTCGTACCTCATTACGTTTCTTGAATCATGCAATTCGATATGGTTTAGGATATGATTCTATCTTGAGCTTGAGCTTGTCCACCATATCTTAAGACACAATACTCACAACTATCACCATCAATAACAAGAAAACAAACTTTGCCTTAAGACCTGCAACATGTCTTGAAAATATTATTTCATAATCATTCTTCATTAGAATCATCTCTTAGACTAGCAAGCACTCTATGGATTACCAAACATTCACCTTCGAGTGTAATTTCTTCATAAGCCTCCTTAGGGTATTCATCATATATTGGTTCTCCAATATCATCAAGTTGTTCATTGGCATCTTCTTTTTCGATAAAGTTGACTCGTGCATCAGCTTGCCTATCCGGGCACTCGTTTATGTAGTGTTCTACATGTTTACATTTGAAACAAGTAAGAAGGTGACTGATGCGACTAGATTAACCTCCACAATTGGTAGGAGTTAGTTTGGATGCATTTTTTATAATTCTACAAGCTTTTGTTCCAGTACCACAGTACCATTATAACGAGCTGAGTGAACTTTAGAAGAGGAATGTAAAGGAACATTAGAATACCTCTTTGCTTCACTTCTAGCAAGTTTTGCTTTAACTTTTAGTGATAATTGATAAGCATCAGATAACCTCCATAATTGTTGCATCTCCACTTCATCTCGAATAATATCTTGCAATAAGTTGTTTTTCCATCTCTGAGTGTTATTTCAGGCCATCAACTTGTTGAATTCTTTATTGTGGTTGATGATGATTTTGCTACCTTGCTGAAGATTATTAAATTGTGAAAAGAGAATTTGAACATAATCATATAGAAGAAAATTCTTACGGAGCCGAGATTTCATCTTCTCCCAAGATGAAATCTTCATCTTCCCTTTCCGAAGGTTCATCTCTTGCACCTTGTCCCACCATATTAAAGCATAACCTCGAAGCATTGTAACAATTAATTTTACTTTTTGATCTTCAGGTATCTCCTTGTATTCAAAGAATTTCTCAACGACACTAAGCCAATCAAGAAACTCTTCAGGTTGAAGTCAATCTTGATGTTATCATTTGCATGAAAAGACCTATCCACGGATGAGTCTCCTACAACTTATTTGAAAGTAAAAGGATTTAAGTCTTCGAATCCATCACTTGCGTAACCATAGCTTGAGCCTCTAGAGCCATGGATTTATTGATGTTCGAGGCAAATGGTAAACTCTTTAGCTGGTCTCCTTAGTGCTTCAGTTTTTGCATATCTTTCATCTATATCTGGTTGCATTATTCTTTTGCCGCATCGCCCTCTGCCTCTTCTAGTTGCCATAAGAAGGAAGTGCACCAAGAATGTAGCAAGACTATGATACCAAAAAATGTGAAACAAAGAGGAAAAAAGAAGAAGAGGGTGAGAAAACAATTGAGATATGAGAGGACAAAAGAGAACTCTATCTTTTTCAAGAGATACTAAGAGCCAATAGCTCGAAATACAAAAGTTTGATAAGGCTTCAAAAACTAGAATGCCTCACCAATCCTCCTTCCTTCTCCTTTTATAAATCCCTTGTACATTGAATACCTCAACCACCTAATTAATGAGTCACGATTTACTAAAAATCAAGCATAAATTATAATACATATTGAATCCATAGTGCATTATAGGTTTTGAATTTTCATAATTATCTCAGGATACAAACTATTTTCTTAAAATTTGATAAGATTGGACATAGAATTCATTGTCTTTCAACTTGAGAGCATTCAATGCTAACCATGCACTGCATTGTCACAGTTGATGGGAAGCACTAAAAGTTTATGCAATTTGGTGGTTTTGTTAACATCCCTATCAACAGACTGTTCATTAGATGGGAAGCAGTAAGATTCATAAAAAGATTCAATTACTAAACAGAATCTTTGCTTGAAGATATTCTTAACTTCTCCAAGCATTAAGGGAGATTCTGATTTTCCAAGTAAAAGATTTTAAAGGCTACAAACATAGTTAATTAAATACGATGCAAATTTAAGTTCATGTTAACCTTCAGTAAACAAAGGTTCCAAACTTCCTACGTTTCATGTAAAATTTCACTTTCCAAGTCAGAAAAGGAAGTATTGACAAAGATACATAAATTAGGCATACAACTACAAAAAGGATCAGAATTATCATGAAAGAAGAAAGAATTTACTTATTTAACTTCTACAATGACTAGAAATGAAAAATAAAAGTGATAGAGCACAGGACGTACTAGGAAGTCTACTGCCTACCATACATTTCCTTGCTCATTATTTCCTCTTTGGTAGTGTCAATTATCAAAGAAAACTAATGTTAAGAATCCAGAAAGTGGTCAAGATAAGGGCGTCCAAAGGAACACAGCCTCGGATATTCAGTGAGTAAACCAGACAGTATCAGTTATTAAAACAGAGTATGATGATCCCTAACACACTGATATTCTTCATGTTCTCCTGAACAACTATATGTTGCGATATCTGTTTCAAGAGAAGCCCAAAGAGTTTCAGAAGTAGATATCATGTAAGCATCACAGCAAGCCTGTGACCAATTCCTTATAATATTACCGATCATATTAGTGAAACCTATGCATAAAAAAGATACTTAAAAAAAAGTATGCATAAAAGCTGTGTCAAAAATCTTAAATTTCGATACATAAGTTCACATAAAAGTTCTATCTCAAAAATCTTAAATTTTAAATCCCTAAATGTGTTTGTCTTCACGGTTTTAGGCCATCAAAGATGACAAAGGATAATGTCTTCCCACGGAAAGTTTCTTCCTCTAGGTGTTCAGATATTCCCTCTCTGACTCCCCCAAACCACCATAAAGAAATCACTAAGAAAAAAGGAGAAATATATGAAAAATTAAAAAAATACGAGAGAAGAAAAGGAAAATTCTCGTCGTCCGAATGTTCCTCTAATAGTGCACTGGTAAGCCCATGGTAGAACCATTTCAAATCCAGAAACAAGACGATAATACCCCCACCACGACTCAAAGACCGAGACAAAGGCCACACTTTTCAGTTTTCCCCCATGATTTCGCAACAACCCCAAGGGCAAACTAACAAGGACAACAAAGAAACAAACGGGGGCGAGACTGGATGGATTGGAAGAGAGGGATAAAACGGGAGCACCTTGAGGTGGAGGGGAACGCCGGTATTGGGCCCGACGCCCTTCTCTCCGGTGCAGAGCGCCCTAAAGTTCTCTGCAGTCCTCGGCACCACTCCTGCGAAGAGCTCCACCACGATCCGCCCCTCCATGTCCCCTCCGATGGTAACGTCCATGTAGCACCGGGGGTTCCGCTTCGCCTCCGCCTCCGCCTCCACCTCCGCCGGGGCATCACCCTCGCCTACCTCCATCTCGCTCCCGGCTGCCCACAAGAGTAAACCCTAATCTTCCCTCCTCTCCTCCCTCGCCTCGTCTTCTCTATGTGGGCGGCGCGAGGAAGAGGAGGAGCGCTTCTTGTATTTGATTTAAACTGCAGAGAGCCTCTCTCTCATTAATGGCCCCAACGGGGAAACCCATTTAACTATTGGTCAGCGCAGCAATTAATGGTGGTCCCCAGTGGGTACTGTTGTGATCCTGCCATTTATTGCTTTGCTCTCACACTCTCGAACCATCTGGTGATAGATTATTATACTTCCTATTTTAATTATCTTTTTATTTGATTATTTTATTTTTCTAAAAAAATAATTAACATAGATAAAATTATAATAGATTATGGTTCTTCATATACTCATAATTATATGACCCATCTTCTAATCTCTTTTAATCGGATTGAGAGATGCTAATTTCTTAAGTTTAAAATTGAGTGCAGTTAATATGGATTCACACTTAATTTTTTAGAAATATATTAAATTGAGTAAAATACATAAAGGCAAGTTGAAGGGCTAAATATCAACTGAGGGAGAGAAATATTCATTAGATGAAATCACACTATTTCAATAATATTTAAATCCTGTTAATTGTTTTTTTTTTTTTCTTCATCTTAACTCTTTTTACCCACTTTGTCAGACAATTTAATGGAAACAGCCGCATATTCCACAAATGGAATGCCAACAGCCGCTGCCTTCCTTTTTCGGGTTCCTAATGGAGGTAGTGTGTGGATTGTTCCCTCTGTCTTCACCAACCCATCATTAATGCCCAAGCTTTGACCAGGAGGAGAGGGTTACTGTGCAGTCTCAGTGCTCCCCCCATCTCCTTCTACTTACCACTCGTTTACATGTTTAGTGGTTTGCACCGATCATATGGCAACCATCATGGAGAGAAAAAGAGAAAAGAGATGGCTTTTCTTTCACTATGCCGTTGACTTTTTTCAGTCGCCCCTCGAGCATTCAACACTGTTCATGGCAACTAACGTTTGATGTGCCATGAAAGTGCTGACACGAGTTTGTGAGAGAAGGTTGCAGGGGCTTCTCCAGCCATGGCTGAAGCGTCTTTTTCCAGCAGCCATTTGCAATACTTAGTGTCACAAGATCTACCACAGGATTATTTATGCTCTGAGGGTTTTCTCTAGCTGCTGCATCTAGAGATTGTTTAGTTTCACAATAATATCTGACACTAAAATATAAAGAGTCAAACACGTAATTATTTAACGTGAATCATAAACTGTTACAAATCAGATAAAATGACAAGAAAAAGCGTTCTAAGTTTTAGATCTTTAAATCCCTGTCAACAGAAGATAGAAAACTTTGGGCAATGAAGATAACAGGATGGGAAGTAGGAACAGGAAACTTTCTTGTGAGCACCTCAATATTTAAAGCAATGATGAAACATGTCTTTAAGAGGTCAGATACTAATCAAAGTACAATTCTTTTAGCATATTTCAGATAACATAATCTGACTCAAAAGTTTTAATTACAAATATTATCATCATATAATACAGGAAAACACATGAGAAAAAGAGACAATACAGTTGAATATCAAGCATGGATCTTCAACTTATAGCTTAGTCACCCCACATATCCAAAGAAACAAATGTTTGTCTATCCCACATAAACATATCATAATTGATCTATTGGTACCGGCCCAAACATTTTCGTGCTGCTGAAATGGGTTAAAGAAGAAGGCACCCAAAGAAGGTAGAAGAATTATCTTGAGGTACAACATGGAGGAGCAGATCATATGCATAAGCTTCATTCTGGCTTGTAAAATATTTTTCAGGACCACAAGGAGCGATTTTTAATGGCATACTTGCTGCCTCCCTCCAATCTTTCTCTGTATACAAGAGTCCATTTCTCAAAGGTGCAGTTGATGAAGTCATAGTAGCCTCCATGAAGAGATAATGTCGCTTCGCTGACTCTTTTCTCAATCCATGGGTATGTTAGCAAGTTCAGCAGTGAGCCATTGATTGATTCCTGTAATAAATAAAAGCGGCAAGTTAGCTTAAAGCTTGACTCTACAGCAGCATGCATTTTATATATATACCTAAGACATTTACTCGTAGTCAAAGAATAGAGTATTTCAGATACACCAATAAAATGCTACTTAACAGCCTGATCTTGGTGAAGTCAAGATAAAGGAAAGCAAACAACAGGTTAATTATTGAGTGAAGGGATCAACAGAAACAATGTAAACTTTAGATCGATAATGCTAAGTTGATTATATTCGCAGAAGCACAAGAAGTTCCAGGTTGCTTAGAGAAATGCAACAGTTCTGCTAACGTGGGTCCTCACACAAAAATAGCTTGAGATAAAAAACCTGAACAGAAATTCAAACTACATATGCAAGTTTAAGAAGCTAGATCTTAGTGTCACTAAGTTCTGTCACAAAAAGACATTTCTAATTCACATGAAAAAGCATGCTTGTAAACTTGTACAACTAGAAAGCAGGGAAGGAAAAGTTTGTGATAGAATCTTTTGCTTTGCTGGCATTATAAAGATTTTAATTTTCAGACGGGAATCAATATGAAGCTGGATGGACAAAGGTAGATACAAGCATGGTTGCTGGTGGACGTGGAGATGATGATGTCTAGCTGTCCAGCATTAACAAGAGAATCTTGAAGTGATAAGAAAAAGCTAATTATCATAACATGTGTTGCCATAGAAAAGTCCAATTAATGTTCACTCTGTTAGAAGGGGATCGTGACTACCTTCTCACAATGTCTACACTGCATTTCAAAGCTCAGGTTGCCAGCAGCAGCCTCTGTGCTTAGCCTTGCACTCTTTCCAATGGAAACCCAATCTTTGATAAAGCTTCTATATATGTATACAAACACAAAAAGTGAATGGGATCTCATGCAGAAAAAGAACAAGAAAACATAAAACAGAAATGCAGAGTCTAGGTCTAATTTACATGTACCTAGAACCAGGATCATTTTTCATACTCATAAGAGCCTGAATTCCTCCACAACGACTATGGCCAACAACTAATATGTTTGCAACCTACAAAAAGCATATTGTTCAGCTCAAAGAGAACAACGAGCAGCTCATTAATATTAATGCAGTTAACGGCCACCATATTGTGTCAAATGACTACACAAATCTACTTTATGAAATTTACTTGCCTCTAGAGTGTTTACAGCAAACTCAAGTGCTGCACTAGTTTCTGAAGCCCCATGCTGCAAAAAAAAATATTAAATGCCCTAAAAAATTGCACAAAATAGCAATGAAGCTCTTCAAACTGGTCCGAATAGCCTAGTGTGGTGTGAAGATATTTAAGAGATGTACCTGAAATGGTGGAACTAAATTTGCTATATTCCTTACTGTAAACGATTCCCCAGGTTGAAAACCCAAAATGTTCGAAGGGCAGACCCTCGAGTCTGCACATGCAATTACCATGAACTGCACAAGAAACTATCAGTTGATACCATATGTTAAAAAATGTTGAATAATGTAGAATATACACCAACAAAAGAGCCCCAAAATAGACATACCACTCAAAGTGGGTCCCGAAGGATGATCTATCATATAATTTATGGGAGTTACTTCAAAAATAAAGAACTATTATTTGTAGGTAAGAGGAGGGGGGGTGGGGGGGGGGGGGGGG